TTTGGCCACCACTGTATATATACTGTATACAATTGGTTTTGCCGATTACAATAAAAAGGATGATACACAAATAGATGTTATAGCAATCTCATGTAAGAAATATCAACGTCCTACGGCTAATCGTTTTTGAGTTAATGCGAGATACTAGATACATACATACGTATGTACAGACATCGCAAAAATATCCCTTCTGAATTTCTTTTAAATCAGTTTTACAATCTATTTTAGAAACAGGAATCTTTTACGCTATCCATATGTTCCGATGATGTGCAAAAAAAAGTCGTCCAGTTAGATTCGAGAACGGTCAAAAAAAGGATATTTCAGTTGAAATACGATACCCAAAATTTCTCGCAACACCAATACTTTCTTTACTTCGTACAAGGAAGTGAGAAACTCTTTCTGACACGTTAATGGTAAAATTCATACAGACATTCGATAACAAATTATTAATTTCTATGATTATTCTATTCGTGTTTAAGAGTTTGCGGTAGAAAATAACATAGATTCACAATGTTTTGAAAACAAATCTAGGAAAAACGTATGCAGTAAAATGTGCTTATTTCCGATTAAAAATCCTGAATTCGTTAAAATAGGATTTGTCGTTAAATTATGGTTTTCTAAATATTTATTAATGGTTTCTCATCTAAATTTGTAAATATTTATTGATGCTTACTTTTTGCTTTGCTTTATTTAAACTTAATTCTTCAAAATATTCTAACTTAATTAAACGACTCCTCAAGGCAAGTTGAAAATGACATCAAGAATAGAATGAATTCATTTTAAATCAGTTTTACAATCTATTTTAAAAATCGTCCAGTCAAATGAGATTCCATCTGATCGGGATTAGTTCCATCTGATCATCGTTAGTTCCATCTGATCGAGATTACAGCATAATGAATATTTTTGTAACCGAAATTATCAAGTAGGAAATAAAAATAAGTTTTCGGATATTTATTTTATTTCAAACGAAAACATTTGCTTCGTCTTCATGCTGGGGTACAACGTCAGCGAGTTTTCGTGAAATGATTATTGTATACCAATTAGAAAGCAATAATCCCTCATGAATAGCAATGATCGGTAGTCGAAAGGTTAGTGTAAGTTGAGTTTTTCTAGTTGACTAAAATCAGCTTTTCACCAACTAAGATTAATTTGAATTTGATATATTTGTGTGTAACTTTTCCGCTTAGCTTCCTCATGCATGTTTAGTAAAAACTCGTGTTAAAATTCTACACATGAGAATTGCAATTTGAATATTAACTATTAAAATACATCATTGAATTTTTAAATTGGATATTAATTACTGAATGCATTAATGAATTTAACATTTTGGATATTAATTACTGAATATTAATTATTGAATATTAATTACCTAATAGAGTTCTTAAAATAATTTAGTTTATCAAAGGTGTTAACAAAGATTAAACACTCTCCGTGTTTTCATGACACAAAATCGTCTGCATCCCGTCTTCCGGAGAAATTAATTCTTTGTAATTTTTCTCTAAAATTTACATCTACTTAAACAATTCAACGCGGTTTGAAATTTTCTCCCAAACAGAGTAAACAGCCAAATTAATTAAGACACAATAACACGCCGAAGAAATACTAATTCAGAAGTCAAACAACAAAAATCAGCGTTATATTTCCAAAATTTTCACTAGTTTCGATGGTTTTACCGAACAACCATCCTCAGCTGCAAAACCTCAGCTGCAAGATAAGAAATAATAATTAGATAAGATAAGAAAGCCTGGACAAGAAAAAGCAAGTGGCGCCATCTGTTGATGAAACCAAAACTAAAACATAATTTCTTCTTTAGAGGCCGAAGGCGAAGATGGATTGAGATTAGTACCGTTAACTAGAACAGAAAGATTTTTTTGAATGTGAAATGCTTCTAGAAAATCCAGTTCTCCAATGGAAGGTGTTTTTTGAATAATTTTGGCAAAATGTTCGCGTCAAGGAACATGAGGCATATGTTAGAAAAAAGGAAACGCAGAAGTCTTCTGTTCCTCAACAATGTTGGTCCGAAAATCACACTTTCAATTTTTCTGCTGCCAAAATTATTAAAAAAAACATCTTCCATTGGAGAACTGGATTTTCTAGAAGCATTTCACATTCAAAAAATCTTTCTGTTCTAGTTAACGATCCTAATTGCAATCCATCTTTGCCTTCGACCTTTAAAGAAATTATGTTTCAGTTCTGGTTTCATCAACAGATGGCGCCACTTGCTTATTCTTGCCCAGGCTTTCTTATCTTATCTAATCATTATTTCCTATCTTGTTCATTTGCGGTTTTGCAGCTGAGGATGGTGGTTCGGTAAAACCATCGAAACTAGTCCTGTGAAAATTTTGAAAATATAACGCTGATTTTTGTTGTTTGACTTCTGAATTAACCAAATTAGTATTTTGAGTGTAAACACGAAATTTTAGGTTTAGAACACAGCGGATGTAAAGCGTCATGTAAAAAAAAACAACGCATGGGGAAACATCGTTGTGAAAAGCAATCGTGGTAGGAAAACAAGTACGGAGAAACATTGCAAAGATAAAATATTATGGTAGAAAACATCGTGTTAGAAAATAAAGCTGTGTAAAAACTTCGCAGTTTTAAAACATCATCGCATAAAAGGTTTTGGTAAAAAATAAAACACCTACAAAGCATCGCATGATGATAACATTTCAGACATTTGTTTTACGGTTATTAAAGTTTCAAGTGAAATTTTGCGTAATGATTTATGATCATGAAAACTAAAATGAGGAACTTTTTTCACTTTTACATTTCACATTTTTGTATTATAAATATCTACTGCAAAATACAAAAGGAAATTTCTGGCATTGGAAATATGAAAATTAGTGAACATTAATGCTAAATGTGTTAATTAATTACTAAAGTGATGAGAGGTCTATAAAAATTAATTAAATAATAACTTTTAATAATTAGCAATATAAGTTTAAATTTCTATTAACTGCTGTTCATAGCATTAACATATAATAACTTCTAGATTTTGAATGTATACGTTTCCGCCTTACTTTTCCAGTAAACATTTATTACTTGATTGAAAAATATGAGATATACAGCTAAAAATATTCCCCATTTTTTTTGTTTGTCCCCAAATCGTTACGTGGACATGCATTTGAAACTTTTAATGTCTGAAAACATATGTCTGCGATGTTATCACCATGCAGTCATTTGTCGATGTTTTCTTTTCTACTGTGATAATTCTGCATGATGTTTTAAAAGTGCGTTGCACTTCTTTACTTTCTATTACGATGTTCCCAGTTGTTTTGGAACTGTGATATTTTCTCATTGTTTTCTTGACTTCCACGATGTTTTGTACAACAAAGTTTTCACGTTACGTTGTTTTATTGTAGTGTTTCGGAGCACGACTAATCCGACGATGACTGTAAAGCATTCTTTGCTTCAAATGAAGAGAGACCAGTGTATCTGTATTTTGAAATGAACAGATCAATTTCAATTAATGCTATCAATGCCTGCCGAACTGTTAAATTTTCCAATTATTATCAGTCAGGTTTTAAATTATATTTTACTTTTCTTTTTTACTCTAAACAGGCAATAATATATTTCAGATATAGTTTTAGTATTATTTCCGTGTTTGAGATATTTTCTGATTTATTATTCTCCAAACAATTCCAGACTGTGAATGTACGCATCCGTATATCCAATGCAGTAACATTTCTTTTTCTATTATTTCTCTTTCGATAACCAATTAATTAAAGACATTGTACCAACAATTACAACATTTAAAAGAAAGTTTTTATGGAAAAATACTTAACAGATTAATATATGTTTTTGCTATCAATAGAAATAGTATATTACTAGTTTAAAGCGTATTAATTTGAAATTAGTTTTTGAATGATTTAAACAATAGTGATAGCTAACACTCTTGACGTGAATGTTTTTCTAAAGAAAGACCGACTATTCCGAGTGGATAAGACCACTATACACTGGTAGTTTGATTTCGATTTAAACTCCTGAAAATGCGTAGGATGTATATGCATTTTTTGGTTTCCCCTAAGTTTTCCTATAAATGCTAACCAGGTTTTCTGAGAAAATTAATATATATCGTCATGTATTATATTTAAAGAAACTAAATAATAAAGGATCTGCATGAATATTTCTCTCATTGTGAAAAAACAACGCTACCTGGAGATATCAAATTTTGAAAAACGTAGTCCTTCGTAAATGGACAACTGGGAGCCCAAATTTTGAATTTGTTTTTCTATCTATTTCATATTTTGCAACACATTTTTGATTAACAAACTCAACGATTTCAAAGCAAGGAATGGCAACTGGCAGCACTGCACCAAAAAAAAAAAAAAAAAAAAAAAAAAAAAATTCCAGCGCGCGAGATGTGTTTAGGAAATTCTGAAGATATTCTCTTTTTAAATTATTTTGTGATATTGCTGTTGAATTGAATTTTATGATTTAAGAACGAAGAACATGATATAAATAAAGGTAGCATACAAAACGTTAAATAAACGTCCATTTGCGAGTAATATCAAATCTGAAAGCTTCCTTTTTTTATTTTTCCTATAAAATTTGCTTATTACTCACAGAGTTTTTTAAGATCTATACTACACGACGTAAATGTTATTTTATGAAAACTAATTTACGATAGCTATCATAAAATGGGACGTCTAGACGTTCTTTAAATCGATAATATGGACTGAACAGATTTTTATTATTCGATTCATTTCACTTTGAAGAATATAGTTTCAAAAAATAAATTTATGTATTCAAATGGAATTTCGAAAGCTCATGTTAAGAATTTTTGTATCTATTTTAGCTTTTTTAACTTCCAGAAATTTTGTTCCAATAACAATTTTATTTAAAAAGTTACTGCATTCATTTTATCTTGTAAAATATAAATCTGCAGATGTATTTTTATGACAAATAACATCAAGTAAAATTTTGTTGAACTAATTTTAAACATTTTAATAACTACGAAATTTGATTATTACTTAAAATACCAATTTTGTCTCTTACAGGAAAGAAATACCTATCCAGATTGTTGACAATGAAAGCTATGAAAGAGATTCTGTGTTTTACGTAGAATTAGGAGATCCGAGAACTGAAGAAGGTAAGTAATATTGCTTGCATTTTTTCTGTCTGAAAGAGTAAGAATATTGCATCGTGCTTCTACATTTAGACGGCTTTCTAGTATACATTAACTATCAGAGCTTTTGAATAATTCACTCTCAAAATTTAATGTATAAACTTAGACATTATAAGTTTATAGTATAAACTATTGTAAAGAAGTTTATATATAATTTAATGTATAAACTTAAATTATAACTTATAACTTAAATTTAATACATTTTTATTTTTATGTCAAGGCTTTATATTTAACTTTTATACTATTCAGTGTCTTATCAGTGTTCGAATAATCAGACTAAAACATTTAGATAGAAAATTTGAATCTACATATAGTCCTGTAATGGCTAAATTTTGATTTTCAAAAGAGAATGTAAGGAAAATATCTGACATGCCCAGCACATGATTTTCAACCAATTCCATATTTTAAGGCGTATCAGAAACCCCTATACCGACAATGTTAAATTGGCCATTTTTGATGTACCTTTTCTCAAACTCTGCTGTAGATACAATTTTTTCTGTAATTAAAGTATACTTATCTGATTATACTGAAATGAGCTTTTGAAGCATTTTAAATTTTAGAGTAAATTACAGAATATTTTGTTAGGCATAGTAAAATTTAGCACTTTTCTCACACAAAAAAAATTAATTATTTTTTCTAAGTTTATTACAAAAAGCTCATTTCAGTAAATATAAGGGAACCTAATAAATAAGCCATAAAAAGTTTAGATACTTGTGAGCAGTAGTTCCTGAGAAAAGGTACATCGAGTATAAAAAAATCACATTTGGAGAAAAACGCGTTTTTATGTAAAAATCCCCATTGATCAAAGCATTAGATGACAAATTAAAACTAGATTTTTTTGCAGTTCTAATTTTCATAGAGATTGAAGAATGGTATTTTTAGAAAGATAAAAGTGTACAGAATTTGAAAATGCAAAAATCCGAAATCACAATTTTTTGAAGATTTTGGGGTTCCAACACCCCTTAAGTAGCAATGGGCTTTAAGTAAAACTTCATTTCCAGTTGATCGCTTGTAAACCAGCATTATATCTTAGTTTGTCTAATTTGTTAGTTCAATAAATAGGCAAATCTCTAATCCATATAAATGTTGGATTATATTTTATTAATCACACCTGGCCATACACATAAACTAGTTTTTCTGAATTTATACCAACATATTCAAATGCATGCCCGTTTATTTTTTTACGAAAAATTTACATTTTATTGGGCAGTTGAATAATGTAATTGGTTTGTAATTAAAGGCTATTAAGCTGGAAGATCTGATCTTCTTAGCTATCATACAGTTAACGTGATTTTACGAGGGAACCTGGCCACTTCTCGCGCAGGTGTAAGTGAATACCATTACAGAACGAAGGGTAAAATAATCCTTTATTATTCGTCAAACTCTGAACACAAATGCACGAAATTCCTGCTCACAATAACACCGTCGACTTGCGGTGGAACTTAAAAAGAGTTTTACAATAAATTAAAAGATAAAGAGAAATGTTGGAGTAACAATTTAATTTAAGGTTAACTAGGCTGACTGAACAACCCACCCGGCAATGTACTTAATAAATGGCCAAAAAGGTGTATCAGAAACTCAGCGTAACAGCAAGGGCAAACTAGTAACGTGTCTTGGCTAGCGAAATCACGCTCTGAATAAACTACAAGATTCGTCTGACTTTATATTCACTTAATTTTAAATTTGCATCCTGTCGAGGAAATGCGAAGGGAAAATGAGAGGTTCAGGAAAAGTGCTAAAAATAATTTGTTATACAAAATAGGGGAAACCCTACAGAGTGTTTATTATATATTTAAAATAAATGCATGTTTATGTAAATTATTTATATAATATTGTTATGATTTATATATATAGAACAATTAAATGTAGAGATATATGCTATGGTTTATATATAGAACAATTATATTATATGAACTGCTGCAAAACTTTTATGGGTTTTAAGAAAAGTGCCACTTCCGGTTGTCCAACTAAAATTAAATCAACTCTTTATAAGAAAAATGCCACTTCCGGTTGTCCAACTAAAATTAAATCAACTCTTTATAAGACAAGTGCAACTTCCGGTTGTCCAACTAAAATTAAATCAACTCTTTATAAGAAAAGTGCCACTTCCGGTTGTCCAACTAAAATTAAATCAACTCTTTATAAGACAAGTGCCACTTCCGTTTGCCCAACTAAAATTAAATCAACTATTTATAAGAAAAGTGCCACTTCCGGTTGTCCAACTAAAACTAAATCAACTCTTTATATGAATACAGAAAGCTTAAATAACGAAAACAGAAACTTTTAGTAATTTGATATAGAGTTAATGTATACGAAACAATCGTCACAGACAGACAGATATCATTGTAAAAGTACTAAAAGCACGTTGTGGGGACACTAATTTGTGCTTATTCACTAAAAATTCACTATCTAAATTTTGGACCGAAAACTTTACCTCCCTTACCTACGGTTATGGATTGGCGGGAAGTAAAACAATTGACTTTTTAAACGTCTGACAAGCACAAAGTTTTACTAATAAAGCCCATATTTCCTAAAACTACCACGAGAAAGAAGTATTTTAGTGATTTTAATGCTAAAATGTTTCTGGTACCTTTATACTTAGATTTATGTACTTTTAATAACATACCTTAATTTTTTGAACAAATTTCAAGACGGACGTGCATATATTTTCCTAAAGACATCGCGAATGCATTCTAGGCCGTATATTTACGGACTTGCCGGTCAGAGTGTTCTGTCCTTACTTACAAGATAAATTACTATGTGGTATTGTAAAGAATTATCACATTCCCTTGAGCGTGTTTTCATGATGTACGTTGTTGGCATATCTAATCAGCAGTTAACGTTGTTGGCATATCTAATCAGCAGTTAGAAGAACCGTGGTTCGGACGCCACCGCTGATATTTACAGCTTCGAAAACACAAATAATAGCCAAGTAATATTGGGCGATTTATTGGATGACAACTCATAATCAACTGTGTTTCCTCGACTAGATCTGCTTCCTGCATTATAGAGCCTAATAGTCTACAGAAGAGCTACTGCGCAAATGCAACAAAAATGAATTGAATTGGATTATTTGGTTATAATCCAATTCAAGCCATTCAATCTACACGACTACGATCTTGTAGATCGGATGTTCCCCAAAAAAGATATCAGCTTGGGAAAGTGCGTCCCCTAACATCATTTGGGGACTTTTTAAAGCAAAGTGTATTATCCAAGTGTAATGGATAGAATTGAAAGTACTTTAATTTCGGTGGAGGGAGGGGACCTTCTTGATCCATTAGCAAGAAAGACATTAAAACCGATACTTCACCAAAAGAATAATTAATTTTTTTAATTAAGATACAAAGGATGTTTCAAATATAGTAAGCAATACATGGACGTGAGCTTTCCTGACCATGAGTTATTGCTGCTGATTCTTATCTTCTTGATGTGCTACAAATTGAATCATTGGTGAAAATTCCAGTTGAATTAGTGAAACTTCCAGTTGACGTGGAAGTTAACCCTTAAATGCGTGAATTTTTACTTTTATTGAATCATTGGTGATAATTCCAGTTCAATTAGTGAAACTTCCAGTTAACGTGGAAGTTAACCCTTAAATGCGTGAATTTTTATTTTATTTTTAAAGTCAAAAATACATTAGAACTAATATCAAACAAAATAGGAAAAATAATTTAAAAAATCTAAACTAAGTTTTTATTGCAATTTTTGAAAACATATTATTAACTTTTACAAGACAAATATGGTAGGTAAATGTGTAATAAATATTTTGTGTAATAAGACATGGCTTATAACCTTGTTCAAGCAATTTTAAAGCTTTTAATATATCAAATTAACAACAAATACAAAATCAAAAATTCGTAAACACAAATGATGTCCACACCCTCCAAATCAACTCACACAAGATTGTGTGAGTTGATTTGATTGTGTGAGTTGTGGTCAATCACAATAATGACCATTGAAATTATTTCCCGTGGGGACTAGTTGACTAGTTGTTTTATGCACTGTAACCTATTTGTCAGAAATTCAGCCGGCATGAAACAGAAAAGCAAATCGACATGTTTCACATTAAGCAGTAAATTTTACGCCTTCTTAGTAAGCTAAATTTCTTTGAGCCTTATTTAATGTTGTAATTGAATGGGACATCTATATACCAGTCCCCAGAAAAAAGATTTTAAAGCTTCTAGAACCGTTTTCACTCTCAGAATAGCATAGTTAAACAATTTGCGCTGTTTTCAGTATTGTCTAGTACAGCGGTTCTCAACCTTTTGACTAACGCATACCATCTAAACAAAAATTGAAAACCTTTAGTACCACCACTACAAAGTACTACTCCCACCACCACTCTTGAACAAAACTCAGATCGCATAAATTTAGGAGTGTTAGAGAAGAAACTCAATCAGGATGTTGGTGTTTTAATTTTTGAATTTAATAGTTAAAAGTACTTTGCTTCTTTTGCATACCACTTATTTTTCTCTTGCGTCCCACCAGTGGTACGCGTACCACCGGCTCCACAATTCTTGGCTCTAATAGTTGAGGTCTGGAGTTCATAAAATGGATCACATTATTTCATAAGTAGAGATGAAATGTGGATTTTCACATGTGACCATTTACAGAATGCATCGGGAGAGTAAAAATTCTGTCAAAACTCTGCATTTATGACAAACACGTAGCCACAAAGAGAGTCACAAAAGGATGTACACCACCAGCATTAAGTGGCAGAAATTATTTTAAAGAAGAAGGATACAACACTGCCTCAAATATCATCGAAATTTAGTATACTGACCTTAGTAAATATCATCTTGAACACCGTAAGATCTTCTTTCCAGTATATCGGCTTCAGGAGCCAACAACTCGTGAGAACAGCTCTTGTGAATACATGATACAGAAACCCAAATGAGCTCAGCAATTTGGGCACTAAATACTTGGTGATTGAAAACGATTATCTGGTCTGACCAATCGTACTA